GATTCGGAAGTCATAAAGAAGAAGCAGGCGAACTTGCTCCTTAGTAAGAGGGTAGGGCTGGTTCATGGCTGGAGAGCACCAGGGCTGTAATAATATACGGTTGTATGCCGAAGGACACGACCTACTTATAAACACACGCAGAACATTCTAGCATGCTCTGGAAAAAAAATTGTACTGGATATTCAAGAAATTCCGAGAACTTTCTTTCCAATCAGATACGTATCAGAAATTCGACAAACCTTTCGGCACATCCCAAGCGTGTCATAATAGAGGAAAAAAAAGTTTTGTGAGTTCTTCGTCATTTCTTTTTCGCCGTTCAACCGTCCACCGTTGTACCATTTCTCCCTTCTCATCATTCGTATCCTGACGCTGCCATTCCATTCCGCAGTCAATACGGAGCCTACACCCTGGACGTGATCGCGACGTGTGCGTTCGGTACGAAACTGGACAGCTTGGGAAAGGAGAATGACCCGTTCACGAAAAACGCCAGGAAATTCCTCTCCGATAATCCAGTTGTTGGCAATCCCCTCATCATCGTCCCATGTGAGAATTACTCTCTATTTTTAACAGGGGTTATTGTCTCCTAACCGTAGGTGAAATGGCTTTAAGCCCCGACCTAACCCCTGCAGTTACAGTCTTCAAGCCATACAGATCGCTCAGAAGCCAGAAGCTAAAGAGATCCGTGTTGTTTGTCATATAAAAATTCCATTCCGTGTCGAGCCCCTGCTTTGATAGTTCAAGAACTACCGAGTTATAGTATGCGTTGTTATGTCAAATAGTTTTTGAAGCGAGCCTAATACATGTCTTAACACTCCGTGTGTACACGGGCTTTCAACAAGTTGAATAATATCCCATGATGTCATTTTTAGGTTTCGGCTGAGTCCGCGCTCCGCGGTATCGATCGGCTTAGCAAATTAAGGAGACAGCAGGTTCAGACACCAAATGACAGAATTATCTATCCCTGAGTGTGGAAAATGATTTTGAGAGCTTCATCACTCCCGCAGGCTAAATAATATGAGCTGCCACGGAGGTCATAGCCGGTGAAGAGACAATTGGTCCCTCGTTCCTACTTTTTCGTGTCCTGTATCGTCTTTCCAACTCTGATAATAATAAAAATCAATATAGACTAGACATGAAAAAATGGAAAAATCCGTCCGACCATCTGTCGACCTCTGTATGAGGCCTAATTCTGTCGTCTCCGAACCTTGTTCCAGTCATTTTCCCATGGGTGATGAAGTTGGGTCTGAATATCTTCCCAATGGAATCCATCTACTTCTTCCGCGATCTTGTCCTGGACATCATGAAGCAGCGGGAGACTGAGGGACGTGTGAGTGCATACAATTTCATATATTATGAAGGGTGACCCGTAAGTAGCTCTACCATTAAAGAAAATCACATCTATCCAATAACAGTGGACGCAAAGAGCAAGAATTTATTTAAAGATAGCGTGTCTTTTAAAACCATCTAGGTAAAAAAAAGGTGGTATTAAGGAAAAAAATTATTTAAAGACTTAATTTGCATCTTTGGTAACAGCAGTAACCTGCTTGAGGAAGTTTGGAATAGATTGCAGTTTGAAATGATGCCGTGACTTACGTGACACTCTGCATATTTCGTTTTCAAAGACTGTATATAATCGTTTTTTTTTGCATTGATTGGAAGTTGTAACACACTCGATGAGAGAGCTTTTCAACACGCATTTTTTATGTTGGCCTAACCCTCAGGATTTTCTAAGCCGACGACTCACTGTAGGCCAATCTACATATTGAGGAGTTCAATTCGGCCCCTGCACGCTACCTTTGAAAGACATTTGTTTATAGTTGGCGACAAGCAGCTGCGACAAACAATACATTTAGACCACCAAAATGAACAAAAAATGGGAACAAATGGACTTTCGAATCCAAATTGCCGTCTAGAATGTAAATTTTGAACTTTTGAGTTCAAAACCTCTTTTCTAGCTCAATTAAGGCCAAGGATAGCCATTTGTCCCATAGGGTTAATTATTCCCTCAGGGGGTCAACTTTGGAGTTTAATATCTTGAGAACCGTATGTGCTAGCGCGCTGAAATTTGAGACTTTTTCATGACTCAGGGAGGTCATTATGCCAGAATCTTCTTAAGAAATTCCCGTCTGACGCGCAACTGCCATTTCATCATTGGAGATGAAATGCTTTATGAAGGATTCAATCAAAAACTCCAAGAATTTTCGAAGGACGGGATGAAGGCTTCAGTTTTAAGACTTTCCTGGCTTTCTTCTCAATGTGATTAAAAGGAATCTAGCGATCAGGCTCAGCGAAAAAACCAGATGTGATTCTTTTCGCCGAGTCTGTCGCGTTTCAGAAGAATTAAAAGTCGTCAAAATAATGAAGCGTGCAGAGTAAGTCTGAGGGGAATCTACATGAAACATTGCAACATATCTCCAGACTTAACCCTAACAATTTGGGCGAATTTATGGGAGTTCAGTATTTCTTATTTTCTCGGTACTTTGCCAACAATGCACCATTAATCTCAGATCCATCTACGTTAACGTCCAAGCAGGTGTGTCAGTACTTTACTCTGTAGTGTGAAGGCACTGCAGAATAACATCGACAGGTCCTTTTCAAGCGGAATGAAAATTAAGCATATGGTGTTCAGAGACCTGTCCCCAAAGATGATACGATATCGGTTGCTTGTTCTCGAGACAGGAACGAGGCGATGTCCTGGACACATTGTTGGAGCAACAAGAGAAGGAAAAGGAGGCAGAAAGCGAGAAGGTGATTACAGAGGAAGTGATCGCAGCTCAGTCCCTCATTTTCTTCGTCGCTGGGTTCGACACCACGGCGTCAATGATGAACTTCCTTTCCTACGTGCTCGCTATTCATCCAGATATCCAAGACCGACTGTATCAGGAGATAGAGAAGAAAATGGATGAACATGTACGTCATTTAGTAGCAAGTTGAAGCATTTTTAACTGTTATGTCATTTGTGCAGGGCAGAAAGGGAGCATGCACTAGGAGGACGTCGTAGC